GGGAGCAGTGGTGACCAAAAGACGGACACACTTACAGTAAATTACATGGATGTTATCACGAAGTACCAAGGTATATAAGTTCACTTAAAACGATTTGCAAAACAAAATTACAGCCACCAAGAGCAAAATTGGATGTAGATTTTGAACTCTAATGTAACATATAGAGCAGTGGTGACCAAAAGACAGACAAACTTATAGTAAATTACATGGATGTCAACACGAAGCAACAAGAAGTACAAGTTTCTTCGCTTAAATTTAAGATATAAACTAAAAATATATTAATGACATAATTTAGAATATGGATAGAACAATAGCATACCACAGCAAAACATAGTGGTCCTTAGTGTTCATGGTAATTCTAAAAATTACCAAATTACAAATGCTCCTCTATGTCTAAATTAGCAAAGCAATTATTGTCTTGGCCTTAAATTGTAACGGTGGCTTTGGTTTTGTTGTCTCCTTGGTTGGTGATGTTGTAGAACTGGTTGTTGTTGTTGAACATGCTGTTGTATTGGTTGTTGTTAAATCGGTTGCTGTTGTTGAACATGTTGTTGGTGGACGTGTTGTTGTGGTTGAACTGGCTGTTGATGATGTTCTGCTTGCTGTTGAATTAATGGTAGTTGAATTTGTCCTTGATGCAGTCCAATGGCAAGTTTGAGTAAATAGGCTTTAAATAAAACGAAAATCACATAAAGAAACAAAATAAATTATAGTACCACTGATAGACTTTTAAACTCTTCATTCTTAACACACCCAAAAACCTTGCAATGGGGTTTCCAAGAGAGTTACCTCCTGTTCCTCCTCACAAAAAGTACGAGGGCATTTTAGAAGGTATCGTCGTCCATTCGCACTTTTCAAGCAGCAACTAATGATAAGTATACATACTGATAATGAAGCACATACTGCAAAAAAGGTTTAGAAAATATATATTAACTTCTTGAAAATGATAAGAAAAACAACATAAATCAAACTTTTTTGTTAATTGGGAGAATGAATAGTTTGTATACACAATCAATCAATGTATTAAATACATTTTTAAAGATGTTTTATGGTGTTGTTTAATATGATGTCTTTAAAATAGATGTTAACCTCTGTTTTCACCGTCTAACTTGTTGTATTGTATAAAATATATTCTTTGTCTTCAATGGTATTACGTATGTGGAAAGTGGGTCACATATATGTGCATGTATATATTACCGTACTTACCTATAGCAGCATAAATGATCAAGTGTATATTGGTTGATAACTGCCCCGAAACAATGTCCTGATTGGAACAATTTATTGGACAAGCTGTTCAGTGATTGCTTCCTGATTAGGCTTTGATTGTGTAACTGTCCCATCTGTTGTCGTTGTAGATATTGTTTTCTTTTTTACGGTGGTTGTTGTAGTTGTGAAAATAATTTCCTATAAAAATCATTACAAGTTTACCGTCAAATTTTCCCTTCATCAACTTGTGATAGATAATAACTTAATATTGAAAAATACATAAAACAATGACTGTTAATCTAGACTTGTAGGGAGACTATGGAAAAATTTAAAAGAAATTCAAATCATAAAAACCTCTTTTCATACTTTGTGGTTGTACTTCCATGAAAAAATAAAACGTTTACTCTTATTGTGCACTTGATCTCGACTTGTGTTTTTGAGTTTTTGTATATTTTGTACTTGTTTAATTTTCTGGTTCTGGCTTTCTGTAATTTGAGTTGTTCAAAATTTTGGTTTCCTCGACCTAATTGTTTAATATAAATGAAGTTATGGGGTTTTCTAATAATTGACAGATAGTAAAAGATAGTTTTCACAATTATGTGTGTTAACCTTCACAACCAGGTCTATTACATTTATTATAACTGTTGGACAAGCACCATACTGTGCATCAATCCTCAGTACATTTGGATTTTTATGTTTATAAGTTCGTTTTGAAAGCGTTTGAATGTAATTCTACTTGCATCTTTACTCGCAACATAATAGACCCCACTCTTTAGCTCGCTGCACTTGTAAATATTAGAGCGTCCAAGTCTCATACATTTGCTTTTAACATCATAGATGTTGTGGTAGGCGTGAACAATAAATGGAGCAAAAATAGCAATTCTAAACATTTTGCAAATTTCAATTCTTTTCTTACTTTTGCGCGGATAAAAAAAGGAACAAAACCTTTAAAGCACTTTTCAACTTTATGATTTTCATAAGTGAAACCAGTAGTATTTGGGCAAATCTATTCAATTATTTTGAAGATGAAGATAAATAAATAAAATTGATAATTAAAAAAAAGTATAAAATCTGTATAAGAAATGAATAAATAAGTTAAACTGTAAAAGTCTACCGGAACATGTTACGGAATGAAAGTATTTAATTTAGTATATATTATATTATTTTGTCCCTACTAGTACTATCTCTTCCTCGGAAGATAAGGATTTATATTTTTTATGATATATTATTTTCATAAAGATTAAAAAATGTCTTTATTCTTTGAAATGTTTACATGTGGTCGTGGGTATCATTTTTTGTCCTTAACATATCATAATTTCACTTATGTAAACCCCGTTGTTTATGTACCCCTAGGCTGGTGTTTTACATGTTTTCGATAATTCTGTCGGGAAATTCATTTATTTTAAGTTGTATATTTCGAATAATCACTCCACGTTATTTCACTGATTAAAAATGTTTAGCTTTGTTTATATTAATTGGTTTAATGTTTATTACATAATCGATTATTGAAATATGTTTTTTTTAAATCCCGTTCAAATCACTGATGATAAATAAAGGCAACAGTAGTATACCGCTGTTCAATAGTCATAAGTCGAATAAGCGAAAACAAATCCGGGTCACAAACCAAAACCGAGGGAAACACATCAACTATAAGAGGAAAACAACGGAACAACAGAAACATTGAACTGCTACAAAAACAAACGCCACATACATAGAAACGGATTATTTGATAACAACTGCCATATTCCTGACTTGGTACAGGACATTTTATGAAAAAATGGTGGGTTGAACTTGGTTTTATGGCTAGCCAAACCTCCCGCTTATATGGCAATGTTAAAAATACCGCTAAAATGACAACATTACGTGACAGGAATACAGTACAAATAAATGCAAGGACACTCAGGACAGATAATAAACAAATAATATAATAGTTCATTACAACATGTAAACTACAGAATAACAACGGACACCTCCCATACGACAGTACACCAGTACACCACAATAGTATTATGATCTGTGCGTCACACGAATGTATCAACGCCACAAAAAGTAAACAGGTAAATTTCTAAAAAGAGAATATAAAATAAGGATTAAGTTTGTACTGGTGTTATTTAATTTTTTTGTAACCATTACAAAAATATTAATATAGAATTGTGTTAGTAATGATGTAATTATTTGTTTTTTCTAACCATGTCGGTTTTTCTTCTAAATCAAAACTGTGTAAAAACAAATAGATCCTGTGCATATAGTTGCCTTAAACTAAAAATCATATAAATGAACTGATTAGTTATCTTAACTTTTACATACATATAGAGAAAAAAAATAGAATTCAAATCAAAAACGATGAAAATGAGAATGGAAATAGGGAATATGTCAAAGAGACAACAACCCGACCAAAGAGCAGAAAACAGCCCAAGGCCATCAATGGGTCTTCAACACAGCGTATGTATACATGATGCTAGTTCTGTACGTTTTTGTTGTTAAATGTATTTTTGTACCTTCACGACTTTGTTCCATATCTATTTCCTCCCATCTTTATTTCTTAATAATTTACAACAACGAGGTATTCATTAATTCATATTTATTGTTCACTGTAAATGTATCACATATGTAGCAGTGGTAAGCAGTGGTTCTTTAAGAAATACATTCACAAGGGTTATAATTCAAGGAAACAAAAACAGCTATCACATATTCTGTAGTGGGTTTTGTTTTGTGCATGAATATCGGATTTCTTTGAAGAGTAAATCACGGTGTTTGAATCTCCTAGATTTCTCATCAAGCAGAAAAGTCAAATATCTACAAAGAGAACAGTTCACTATGTCGACGCTACCGTTTGTGATTATTCTAATTCCATCTGATGTCATGTTTCTGAATGTTTCCGCTTCATACAGTATTACTATTGAGATAACGGTCGCACTTGTCCTGTACCAAGTCAGGAAAATGGCCATTGTTATATTAAAGTTCGTTTCTGTGTGTGTTGCATTTTAGTGTTGTGTTTCTGTTGTGCCGTTGTTCTCCTCTTATATTTAATGTGTTTCCCTCAACCCGGATTTTTTTTTCTCAATCGATTTGTGAATTTCGAATAGCGGTATACTACTGTTGCCTTTATTTGCCATAGAAATAGGAATTATAAACCCAATCAGTTGAATTCTCTGTAGGGTAATTAGAGTTTTTGGTGCATTTTCCAGTCCAATGTTCGAATTAAGTATTGTTACGGGGATGAAAGTGTTGTCAAGTTCATGAACAGATGTCTGCCTAGACGTGAGCATTCCTTCAATGTAATGAGTTCAATCATGTTAACAGAATACAAATATATGTAGAGTTTTGGTTGTTTTAAAAGATATTTCCTAATTAATTGATCACATGATATACGACATGTGTTAAGAAAATGAAATTGTTTTAATTTTTCTCTAATTCAATTTGGAGTTATCCATCTTTATACACTATCAAGTTCAATCATTCAGTTTTTTTCGTTTGTCGTCTCAATGGATGGCATACCACACATATTTTGTAAACAGTCTAAATTGACGGGGTTAATCATGTAATATGAGCCAGAAACATCCATTTTCCACTACTAATTGGTTATTAATGTGTTTTTTGTATTGTTAGGAAGAACAAATAATCAATTCTATCATGCAATTTTCTGACCTAAATCGTCTTTTTAATCATAAATAATTTAGTTCGTTGACTAGACGATTTAATCGACTTCAAAATTGTCGATTCATTTTACTTCACATTATAAAGTAGCAATACTGTTTTGATTCACAGGTCACTGAATTTAAACAACCCATTGATATAAACTATACCTGCACCGGAATGAGGGGTCTCTAGCATAATAAATTATTAGTTCAACAGTTGACAAGAGACGATGCTGCAGATGAATGATTTAACAACTAATTTTGTAAGCATTATTTTTATATATTATGTATATTTGACGTTTTTATCGATAATCAATACAGTCAGGTTTTTAAAGAATCAAAAGGATACTTGTAATTAAAAAAATGCAAAGAAGGTTCGCTAGTTGTCTTAAAAAATTTGGGTAATTTTTAGCAGACATAATCTTACAAGCATGATCTTAAACTATAAAATTACATAAAGTCAAAACATATCTCTTTATGAACAGTTTATTTAACTTGATGATCGATATGTTTGCATTTAACTTTTGTATTGGTAAAGGGAAATTTCGAAAAACAAAATAAAATTTGATATTTTTATTCGATATGAATATACATATTTGCATTAATACTAATGTTTCATTCTCCTAAATATGTGATCAAATAGGATCTTTGATTCCGACTATCAGTTTTGCACTGTCGCATCTCGATACAAATATTCACGTAATATCTAAATACCACAAAGTCCCAAAACAAGTATGTCATACCGGAGTTGATGTTGATGTGTCTGGTTAAACAACTTTCTATGTAATGTATTTATTCATTCTGGGTTCTTTCCTAATTCGATAATCGGTATGGCTAATAAATTAATGCCGAATGTCATGTCAAAGTTACACATTCGGTTATTCTAGCGAATTCCTTGCGGGCAAAACATTACACAATATGATCGCTTCCCTGCTGAATGAACCAAGTGTGCACAGGTAAAATTTTTAAAACATGTCATACCAAATGCTGCCAGATGTAATATACATCCTATGTACATAGTAATATACAAGCTATATGAATAATGGAATCATACAAATATATAATTAAGCGTGTACAGTTTATTTAACACAGAGTCTATATATTAATGGTGTGTATAAAGAAAGAAATTTATGATTATTATGAGATGCACCAGCTTAAGATAAAGATGAAAAAGCCTATATTTTCAAATTTTCTAACGGTTGAATTTTGACAAAAAATAGTATAAACTCAATGTTCATAACAGTTATGGACATTTTGTTAATTTTATATAAATTTCAATCGTCATTCGATATTGATATATTTGACGGGTGCGTCTAAACACTGCTAAGGACTCCATAGTCCACTAAGGACTAGAAGGGGTGCTGTTACATGTTATTATTTTTCATATTATGGTAGAGATTGATATCTAATGCAAAAATGTTTTTATTTAGAAAAAGAATAACAAATAAATGAGTAATTGGACAATATTTAGACACGTGCCGGTTTTTCTTTGATGTTGCCGAAAATCAGTCAACCGTTAGACACGTGCCAAATTACATAACTGATTACACTATTTACTTTGGAACAAGTAATTTACAGTTGCAATAAATACAATTTTTGTTCTGTTATTATAAGACCGTATAAGTAGGAGCAAGAACACACTAAATAACTAAAAACAGTTTGAACTATTTAAGAAAGTTTACTTTAATAAAAACACAAAAAAAAATTTTAAAAAGAAAAGAAAGAGGGTTCAATTACCAAAGTTCATGTGAGTTAAACAGTTGATTTCTTGTTTAACAGTTCATTCAGATATTTCTTGAAGTTAATTTCATAAGTCGGCATATTGCGTTTCGTACAAATGTAAAGACAAATCGATAATGACCATGTAATATGCTTGAACTATATTTCTTACTCGTAAGTAAAATTTATTTAATGTCATTAGTCATGCAACAATAATTACAATATGATTGAATAAGTAAAACGTTCATGTTTAGAAGCTCTTAATTTATGGGACACCTTTTCAACGTTCACCGTGTTAATTAACCGAAACATACGCGTATGTTAAATATTTCATGATTTATTTCATAATTTGCAACGGAGAATACGCAAAAGATAATAAAAATATTCCATGGCAATCAATGTAATTCTCCCCCCCCTTCACCACCCCCTGAATATTAAATAATTTTTGTTAATATAAGTGTATATTATATTTGCCCTTGTGTCTTATTATATTCATTCGTATTCACATTCACACCTGGAACGGTGTACCATAGAGGTTTAAATGCACTCGGATGAAGATCAAAAGAACAGTTATACAGAATTAATACCGAAAGCCATGCACATTGTACTGTTGTATTTTCCCCTCGCCATTTTACATTGAAAACTCTACAATTTAGATAGTTTTTCGAATTTTTTCACCTGGAGGCATTTTAAATATACATCTCTAGATTTTAATACAAATTAAAAAATTCGGTAGAGTAAAAAATTCTGTAAATAATGTAAATTAAACACATTTATAGATAAAAATTGATAATTTTCTCAGCACATTTAGTACATTTCTTAGTTTATTATACACTTCTTTTTGGGGGCCATTTTTATTCATAAAATTATTTAATTAAGATACTTCAGTATTTTATCATTACAATAAAATATTCATTTATCATAATTTATTTAAAACTGAGCTTACTCAAAATATAAAAAATATACCAAGGCGATCCAGGTATTTTGCCACCATCTTCCTCCCAAATGATTTAATTTATTCCCTAATTTTTGTGTCTCGAACTCGCACTTCTCTCTGACCATCCTTACGAAATGTTATTCACACGTGGAATGGTAAACCCTGGAGGCTAAAATACACTCGAGTGAAGATAAAAAAAAATAGATTTACGGAATGCTAATGTTTTAATTACCGTGAATTTAACCACGCCTTCACCAGGTATTGTCAGAGTATACTACACACATTGTGTTTATACAGTCCTAGCGGGGAAAGGTTTGCTAAACTGAATTATTAAGAAAGAGTTTTTAGAAGGATTTCAAATCATATTTTAAGCGTGTTTTATTTCAAGGGCATAGTTGCCAACATTACATAACATTGATTAATTGTGTAGTTTAAAACAAACAATGACATTTCTATTGATAATAAGAGTGTCCCTTCACAGGATTATATAATAGACTTCTCTATTATGATCACTGTGTATAATGAGTAACCTAAGAAAGATACAAAATATAAGAAAAGGTATGAAGGCAGCATCCAAATAATACACATTTCCTTTTGGTTATATAGCTCTTCAACTGTTTTGGTTTTTTTATACATCATTGGTTTCAAATATTCGGCTTTGAACGTGCCTGATGAAGGTAAATCCAGAAAAGCGCTTTGGACGCATGAAATTCATAACTTGTTGTTTTCATTCTTTTCATTACATAAACGAAACCAATTTTTCTGCACAGATGCGTATTTCGACAATAATCTGTTTAGTGATGCTGGAGGCCAAACTGTTTGAAAATCCAAATCTTAAAAGAAAATATGAAGAATTTTTATTCTATAAGACTCTTTAAGAAAATTATGCAATAGGATGTGTACTTGCAGTGATGCTCGATATTTCGATATATAATTTTGAAAATAAATGTCAAAGAACGATTTATGTGTAACATGAGAACTATTTAACGCCCCCAACCCCCAAATAGCAAATACAGCAAACTTCTTCAATTCTAAAATGTACTTATTCATTTTTATGATACCAACTGGACAGATTAGTACAGAAATCAAACACTGTGTTGTCATAATTCTGTCGAGATTGACATATTTGACATAAGATAGCCATTATAAACCAGAAAGATGCTTCAGCTAAATAATAAACTTTATAGAAAATATTTTGAAGCAAAACATCTATTTAAAGTTTGGGTTTAACTAATATATAACTATTTCAAAAGATGACATACTTTTGCAGTTTAGCATTGCACGTAAGAAGATTGAGGCATTTTAAAAAGAAAATATGTGAGACAAAATTAATTATATCAATACTAATGGCTGACAAACAAATGTCATGTCAGCACCTGCTTGATTAATAGTAATGGAACTATTTATGATTTTTTAATTCAAGGCGTTCCTTAAAAAAGAGCGTTTATACTTATAATAATCAAATACTATACCTGTCATAAGTCATACTTATCGCAAAATGGGAAAGGAAAGGAATTTTGACAATACAGGTCATTTACTTTTTTAATACAAAATACAAATACATGTCCTACGACTAGTTTAACCCCGCCACATTCTGTATGTGCCTGTCTCAAGTCAGGAACCTACAATTCAGTGGTTGTCGTCTGTTGCTGTGTTACATATTTGTTTTTCGTTCATTATTTTGTGCATAAATTAGGCCGTTAGTTTTCTCGTTTGAGTTGTTTTACATTTGTCATCTCGGGGCCTTTTATAGCTGACTATGCGGTATGGGCTTTGCTCATTTTTGAAGGCCGTACGGTGACGTATAGTTGTTAATTTCTGTGTCACTTGGTCTCTTGTGGAGAAGTGTCCCATTGGCAACCATACCACATCTTCTTTTTTATACCTAGGACTAGAGTTTGTATCTATTACGCTTCTAAATTGAACGTAAGAAGGTTAACTGCCATACGACATGCCATGTAAATATAAAATTAAATACCGAATGCCAGTTTTCTTCCTCAAGACCAATTTGTGTTGTGATAAGGATAATCGTTTTGTATGGAAAACGTATGCCAGAAAGATATGGACATTCTGAATCTATCAAAGAGGTGCATTTACATATTGAAGTCCTTTACCTTTTTCTAATGTCTTTTTTTTTGTGATAATATGTGCACACATATCGTAATGAAAGATTATTTACAACTGATAATTCGGCCTAGGTTATAAACATTTTGGAATAATCCAATACATTTGCTCCAATTGAAACAATTTTTGGTTTATTTAATTTAGTATGATTAATAGATGTTGGTGTCGTTTTGAATTGTTTTTATACTTAGTGAATATTAATTGCCTGTTTTAAAAATTAAATTTGGTAAAAAATGAACGTCTTTTACTTCTTGTCGTATTGTGCTTGTGTACTAATGTAGCATTGAGATTAGTAATATATTTAATAGAATAATATTTTACAGCAAGACTGCCTTATTTTATACACTGACTAATAATGAGACTAATTTTCTTTTTTGCATTTGTTTACTATTATGTACAAATGTATTTTTGTTTATCTTTTGTTAAATAATAAACACATGAGTGGATAACAATAGTCTTCATTAGAGAAAGATATATGCCAACTTAAAATATTTATAACCCTTGGTGAATTCCGACCTATTGTTATTCAAATAAAGTCGATGAAACTTAACCGGTTTACCTTTGAATACACAAGACCTGTTGGTGACCTTCTGCTGTTGTCTGTTCTATGGTCGGGTTGTTGTCTCTTTAACACATTCCCCATTTCCATTCTCAATTTTACCTTTCTTACATTTATATTCTAAAAATGAAATAATTTTTATCGTTATACATGAAATTATTAGACAATCAGTTAAGTTAGGAGTAATGTCGAGTTGGCTCTATTGGACATGTTAAATTCTTGAACATGCAATAAAAACTAGATAAGACATACTAGTATGCTAAATGATGGTAACATATAATATATTACTTCACAGACTATTTGGACGTAGAAGACCCGCAATTTGACACCCATTGAGCTTCTCTGAGAACAAAATAATGAGACGATTCCGAAAATACAGCTGTTAATTCTTGAGGCGGACATGAAGCAAGGCCAAACATGAAAGCACAACGTAGTTAAGGAAAGTCGATATACTGGTACGTAACAAATATATTTAGTTCGATATACCTGGTAGGGTTTTAAACTAACAATAGAATATTGTATAGAAGTTTAATTGAAACTACTGCGGTTATTTTAATTTTAGAATTGACCAAACGTTCCCAAAACTTCAACCAACCATCCACATCTGCAACAATATCGTTTTGAGGCTGATTATAACGACCTGCAGGTGGTTCGCCAATAAATAGTGTACGTAAGACATTTTCAAAAATATCAACAATTGTTTCAACAGAAAATCTAAGCGTTCTTAAAAGAGCTGTTAACCAGTTTGCATAGGCACTTCAACACACACATACCAGAACTCAACATGATTGTTGATAAATTCAAAAGCGATATACACCTTCTAGCGACTGTATAATACCGAGAGACAAGACCTTATAAGCCGAGATGGTGTTGATTAAGGGTATGTAGCAAGTCAACAATGCTCAATGTTATGTCATTTGGTCTCTGGTGGAGAGTTGTCTCATTGGCAATCATACTACATCTTCCTATTTTTATATTAAAGTTATCATGGGTGCCTTGACGATACTAAATGTCATCGAAACTATACAACTGCGTTTTGGATCATTTCTTACTTCTCTACAAATGTTTTGGGTATGAGTGCCAATGAGACAACTCTCCATCTAAGTCACAATTTGTAAAAGTAAACCATAATAGGTCAAAGTACGGTCTTCAACACGGGGCCTTGGCTAACACCGAACAGCAAGCTATAAAGGGCCCCAAAAATGAATAGTGTAAAACCATTCAAACAGGAAAACCAACGGTCTAATCTATATAAAAAACGAGAAACGAGAAACACTTAAGAACCACATCAACAAACGACAACCACTGAACATCAGGTTCCTGACTTAGGACAGGTGCAAACAAATGCAGCGGGTTTAAACGTTTTAATAGGCGCCAACTTTCACCCTACCTGAAACAATAGTGTAACATCACAATATAGTAGGACACACTATAAAATATCAATTGAAATGGCTTAACTCAATCAAAAGACATATTAACAAAAACAAGTGAACATACACTGAACGAATAAATTTAATCATTACAGAACTACTATGTTTTATAATTTCATACCAAATTTTATCTGGTCAACAACTTCCTGTACCAAGTCAGGAATATGGCAGTTGTTATCAAATAGTCTGTTTCTATGTATGTTGGCGTTTATCTTTGTTGCACTTCAGTGTTTCTGTTGTTCCGTTGTTCCCCTCTTATAGTTGATGTGTTTCACTCGGTTTTAGTTTGTAACCCGGATTTGTTTTTTCTCAATCAATTTATGACTTTTTAACAGCGGTATACTACTTTTGCCTTTATTTCCCACTTTTTAATCTTTTAATTTGTGTTTTTATTTCGGATATAGTTGTTGGTTTATCACTGTCTTTTGAAGTTAGCAGCTTCTCTGTTTTACACAATGTTTAAAGAATACTGTTCTCAAATTTTTATAAATCTTTTCAGATTTACCCTGATTTTAAAAGTGACATGCAAACTGATTTAAATCAATCATACTTTCATCATTTTGTCCTTTTTTTATTGTTCTTAATAGCTTCCAAAATTCATTGCTTTCATTTGGTGACATGTTATCTAGTTTATTCAAAACATTGAGTTTAAATTCTCTTTTTTTAAGTTCAGAAAAAGTAAAATCAGAAAAATACTGAACTCCGAGGAAAATTCAAAAAAGAAAGTCCCTAATCAGAAACGTTTTTTTTTTAGAATCTGTCCAGTTAGATACTCTTTTTTTTCTCTGTTTAAAATATCTTTTTCTCATACATTTATGTGATAACTTTATATAAATGTCTGAAATAAATTCTGTAGTTCTGTTCATTCCATCCTGTGTATTTTCAAAATTTGTTTGTTGAAAATTGTTTTATTCTTCATATACATATTTTTCTTTAAGCTCATTCTCAAGCAGGAGTTTTGAAGTCTTTGACCATTTGAATTCAAAATCTAATTTTTTTTATTTTTATTATTAATATTTGGTAGTTTTTCATCACATTTTAAATGGGTAATAATTCGATTATGATCCGAAAGGTATGATGGATTTTTAACTATAAAATTATTCACTGAGGAGAGTAGACCCTCACTAGTTATTGCATAATAAACTACGCTACATCCTTTCATGTTAAAACATGTCATATTTCCTAACAAATCCCTAATAAATCCCCGCTTTAAAAATTCAGAGTTGGGCAGAAACACAGAGGTCTAGTAAATCCCTCCCGTCCCTCCCTTGTGGGTTTATGATTTCATCTTGACTTTTTCTAGACAGTTGAGAATCTGACTTATCTGGTTAAATATGAGTCAAATTTATGTTGTTTCAGAAATCTCAAATAATTAGAAAATATTAAGCTAAGGAAATGATCATAATTCCAAAATATGATAATGGCGATTTACCATTGTTTATTTCTTATCATTATTTTTGAAACATAGACTATTCTCTTAATTTTAAATAAACTAACTTGTAAATTGATATTGATTTATATTTATGACTAGATAATAAATTAGTGCCAATACACATGAACTTATACCTATTCCTACAAGCTATGTTTTACTTGTTCTTTCTTGTATTTTGATGTGATAGAAAACCAGCCTCATCATTTTACTGGTATTCAGAACTTTCTTTCATGCACGTACTAGTTTTGGGACACCGGTTTCTATTGAAGGATGAATTCCATCAATTATATCTTCTTCTCTCAGATATAGACAAATAATCAAACTACTATTACATTGATCCCAAATTTCCTTTAATCCTGTGTTGAACTCTACCTTCTTTTTCATACGTCTTTCTCCAGATTGTATTCATCTTGAATTTAGGAAGTAATTCACAAAGTACACTTGTTGTTGTCAGCATGCATTTTTGAAATGTATAAACTAGGTCTTCAACTTCTTGTAAGTCTGTAACACTTCACTGGGGACTTTCTTGTTCAAATCATTTGAACAAATTGGGAAAAGGGTTACCGCAGCTTTTATACCTTCGGTTTCTATATGATTTTTTGCACACCAACTGTTTTGTCTTTAAGTGTTGCAACTATTACTTTTTTTGTCTTTGTACATAACTTTAGGATTTATGTGTTTAATAACTGAAAATGCAATTATCCAATAGTCATTTGTGATGTGTTTGTCGTTAAAGTCACATCTTTCATTCTGTTTACTTTCTTCTGTGTTTAAGGTCTTATATTTATTATTTGTTAATGTTTTCTCATTAACGTATGGAACATGACTATTTTCCGGGTTCTGATTCTTCTGATTCATCTTCAAACACACTAAATATATTATGCATGTCTACATTACCTGAATGTTTGGCTCAGGTTCATTTACGTATTTTTTTCTGTAACTGGTTTAGTTTTATCTTCTAGGTCAATTTTTCCAAATTTGCTTTCTAATCCTGAAACTTTTGTTGTCAATTCAATCAGAGTTTCAATAAATTTACCACAGGCAGCGTGGTCTGTTTCACTTTTTTTATTTGTACTATTTACATTATTTTTGTCTAAGTTATGTTCTAAGTTCTCAGCTGACCAATTGTACTTCCAATTTGTTTATTCGTTCTATTATTTTCCCATTACTGGATTCAAAAACTTTGTACTGTAGTGTTTCAAGTTTGGTGTCATTTTTTTTGTTATTTCAAGAATTTGGTTGTTTCCACTTTGCATTGATTGGACATCATTCTGTAATGATACTGTTTGAATAATATGACCACTCTCTATAGTTTGTAGAACTTCTATAATGTCTCTATCTGGTAATCTACAATTACTCTTATTCATACCTTGTTTTTTTAATTTCTTTATGTTTTGCATCTAAGTTTGAATGTTTGTTATTATTTTCTCCATCTTTTCTAATAATTACCACATTTGACATTTCTGTAGCGTCATTTGATACTTGATGATCTGTTGTATACTCTTGGTTATCAGTGTTTAATGGATTCTCCAGAGGCATACTATTTATTAGTTTATCAGGTTTTCATCATCTCTCGTACTTTATCACTTATCAGTTTGAATTCCGTTTTTCCCGCAACTGAGTCATTTGTCCTTGTACAAAGAAATTATATGTAGTATAATAAAGGGTTATAGTAACAAGTATTTTCCTTTAATAGCAATCTGCGTCACTGATTTCGACAGGTTTGTTGCTGGACACTCAGGTTGAAAGGGATCTTCTAATAGAATTTTCTTACATTCAATATCGTAGTCAGACCAAGTGACGTTTATACAACCAGTGTTCCCAAGTTTAATCTCAACAGGAGCACACGCCTCCATAACAATACAGATTGTTATTAACTTTAAAAGTTATATGTTTTTGGTCGGTTTACAACTCTACCATACTAGATTTTGTACTTCCGGTTTTACTCATGACTTTTTTTTCAAATATGCTGTAATCACATTAATTATAAATTGTTCTTTCAAATTTTGAGTCTATATTTCAATATAACAGTCTTTCCGATAATTAGGTATCAATCTTGGGACTATTTCTTGTACACAAACAACTGTTCATCATTTTCAGCATGTGTTCATCAGTTTATATCTATTTCCTGTTTTGTAGTTTGATATGAAATAATAAATTTGTCTTCTCTAAGCACTTTTTTCATTTTCCAATTTATTCTAATATCCATGAAATTGTTACTTGTGTTTTATATTAAAAATAATGGCATTGTATTTTGATGATTCTTTGTATGTATGCATATAGCATTTTAAGATAATACAACGCAATTTTCGGCAACAATGATTAGTAAGAACTGTCTAGTAATCTGAAGAACTTTACAGAGTAACATTTTGATAAATTAGATAAATTTACCTCATCATTTATATATATGACTCGTATAAGTTAAGTTAAGTAATATTATCTTACCTCCTATATATTTCTAGGTATATGCTTGGTTAAAATAAACCGCGTGAAGACCGTGTATATTTCATTACTAGTAAGTTGGCGTGGTTTATTTCAATCAGAAACTGAACCTAGTATGTTCACAGGAAGATCTAGAAATATTTCGTTTACACAAATATATACATAAAATTAAAAAAAAAATGTATGTTGTTTTGTGCAGAAGCAGCAATACTTTACTTGACACGTATATAAATAATATATTGTGTATTAGAAGCTGAATATCAATACATACAATAAAAGATAATGCTTTAATAGTAAGTAGGGCAGAAATTTCAAGGCATATGCTATAACATCAATATACCAATAACGGCACACACTTTCCGTGATCTTTCACATATAATATAAACCTGTCAGAAGGTAAGAGGTGTTTAGTTCCGTTACAAACAGATATACATGTTCATGTAATTAAGCATGAGTTGACGTAGACAAGTTCATCGAAAAGATATTTGAATATTACAGTTTTGTGATGTCGGATGTTGTAAAGTAACAACTATTTTGCAGAAGTTGTTGCATAGAACATTAAAACTTGCTTGAAAATATCAGTTTTCAAATTGAATTTTCACATTGATGTAATGAGCAGGTACACATTCAATGGCATAATTTTCTTAGCAAAAACGAATTGAACTTGTGACTACCTTAGTCATCTATGTTCCATTTATGTTTTTGTCATTAATTTTGAATATTTAAAAATCATTTTCAAGACACAACATTCCTAGATAGGCTTTTGAAGAAGATCATAATACAGAGACTAGGTTTGATCGCTTAAGACTATTGCCGGTCTCAAAATGTAACACTTAAGATAATACAAAGAAAGATATTTTCGTGTTCATATTATGAGTGAAACGAAACTATGGAAATTCGGTCCTAACAAATCGGGATTGTGGACAATAAATGTCTCATCAGTAAATAAGGTTGTTTATATATAAAAAGACACACCAAAAATAAGTAAATATATTGAAATATGTTTATATATTAACAGGAGAAATTGCGTTAACTACAAAAAAAAAAATGGATGCTATAGATAGACAAAGGATTACACTAAATCATCAGTATTTATGCAAAAACATTTCGGATGTTGATCGTGTTATGGATCAGCTTTTCCAAAACAAAATCTTGACAATGGATGAACTTCAACGTGTTAGGTACAAACCTTGTACTTCAGATCAAATACAAATACTCTTGAAGATTTTGATGAAACATCCAAAGGGTTATTGTGGACTGCATCAAGCGCTGATTGCAAAGCAAATGGATTTTATCGCTCAGACGCTAGATTCAACCTGCATTAATGAAGAAGAATTATTAAAAGGTAAGATATAGTCTATCGAACGATAATATTTAAAAATTTATAACATAATCTAGACCTAACCTTTCATGAATCCAACAGTGACTGATCCAGAAATTTTCATAAAGGGGGGTTGGGGTTGGGGGGGGTTGGGGGGGGGGGGTGGGGGTTGGGGTTGGGGGGGCACTGGCTGCCATTAGAGCGGCCCGCTTAGTCATGCTTCAGTGATACCCTAAATAATCAACCAAATTTTTCCCACAAAGGGGGGGGGGGGGGGGGAGTCACCCTGATCCCCGTTAAAACCGCCTCTGTCCAATACAGCTTTTAAAACATCTTAACGTATACTGGCAACATATTCATGTATCCATGCACTAGTTCTTATAATTAAGCGGTTTTTATTTTTTTTTTTAAAGTTTTCTGAATTAGAGCGGCCCGCTTAGTCATGCTTCAGTGATACCCTGAATAATCAACCAAATTTTTCCCACAAAAAGGGGGGGGGGGGGGCAGGCACCCTGGTGCCCCCTAAAACCGCCTCTGTCCAATACAGCTTTTAAAACATCTTAACGTATACTGACAACATATTCATGTATCCATGCACTAGTTCTTATAATTAAGTGGTTTTTATTTTTTTTTAAGTTTTCTAGATGAAAGTTAACCAAGAATACCATCTCGTTTGCATCAATATTATAGAGATTATTTTCTCACTCTTTTGTAGACGAAACACGCGTCTGGCGCATTTTTTTTTAAAGTCTGGTATCTATGATGCGGTATGTGCGTCATAAATATTTATTTATGCCTAGGCATAAATCGATTTATGCCAAACCATAACTCAATTTAAGGATCGCCTTGAATGATTTATTCCTAGGCATAAATGCTTATGGCTAGCCTTAAATTGATTTATGGCTAGCCTTAAATTGATTTATGCCTAGGCATAAATACTTATGCCTAGCCATGATTCGATTGATGCCTAGCCATAAATCTATTTATGGTTAGCCATAAATATTTATGCCTACGCATAATATATAGCTTTCTACCGGTATGAATCGCCGTTCAATATCGGATCACTCCGACATAGTAGGATGGCTAATGCGCTATATACAAATGTACACCCGCACCCACTTAAAACTCATATCAACACAGAAAAGAACGTGCCACTAATCCACTAATTCATGCATATATATATATATATATATACAACGGTAATGGTAAACGCGTGCTGTACAAATACTGTGTTGTCATTTACATATTTATAAATCGTGCATTACAGTGCAATCGGTTAAGACTGATGATAATTTAAAATGCGCTTAATGATCATCATTGCTCCATGCCTAAAATACTAGTTGCTATTATATGCTAGGTGTGCGGATATATACATTAGCTTTATAGCAGTCTATAGGTAAGCAATAAAGGTTAATGTCTTCTACTTTAAATATACTGTAAATATTGGATATATGCGTTCAACCGGAGTTTATGTAGAATATGTTCAACATTTAAGGCACATAAAAGCACTATGCGGCAAATACGCAGGAAAAAAACAAAAGTTAAAGCACTATGTAGTAACATGTCCAAATAAATAATAGGGCACGGTAGATAGCCCCTTAATCACTAGATAGAGATATGTTCCAGATATTTATATAAGCACTTCTCAAGCGGATTGTCGTTATTTTAGAAAAGATAAAGTGCTTCTACATATACTGTCCCTACGCCTTCGTCCCTACCCTGCCATCTGTCTCATTCTACTGGTATGCATATCGTAGCCGTGTGAGGTTTTCTAGCTCTATGTATTGTAGTTGTTTCATATGGAATCCACAGTTAATGCTTTTGTGAGTACCATAGAGCCCATTCTTTAAGATTTCAAGGTATGATTTTATTTTCTGGAGGTGCCTTTCACGTGCATGCTTATGTCTTCTGCATGAGAGTATGAAGTGTTCTAGATCTTCATCTACTGTATTACACAATATACATATCCCCATATATTCTTATTGTGTCTAGACCTAACTGTCTGTAGCATGTATGTTTGTGTTACTAGTCTACTATTTATTTCTCCTGTTTTCGAATTAGTTGGGCTGTTTCCTATACACAGCCAGATATTATGCGGAATAAGGGATTAGATTTCCTGTATTTGAAGGTATGCTAATGTCTTGGACTGGTCTTCTATGCATACTTCATGCCAGTATCTATATTGATGATATCTAACTATCCTTTTCCATTTTTCCTTTGATTTAGGGTGTTGCATAAGATTATCAACAGGTTCCATCCCGCAATTGGTCAGAGCTTTCTGCACTCTATTCATAAATATATTGCTTTTTTCATTTTTCATTGCAAGTTGAATTTTGTTCCGGTCTGATAATTTTTCGCAGAGTTATGGTCCTTGGACTTAGAAAATTCACTCAAATAATCGGTTTTCCACATTTTTTTTTCGTCATGCTTGAAGACATTGACTTGATATTTGGCATTTAGTTAAAACCATGACAAGTTACAGATCAATTTCGAATTTAGTTCCGGTCGGATGTTTTTTTGCAGAGTTATGGTTCTTGGAAAATACACTCAAATAATCGGTTTCCACATATTTTTTTTCATCATGCTTAAAGATATTGATTTGATATTTGATATATTTAGTTGCAAAATTGATCCAAACAAAAGCTAGCTTACATTTGGTAGATAAAACATTTCAGATAAGCATACGTAAGTCTATGCTGTTCATTTTCAAAACATGCATGTATAATTATAACAAGCAGTATTATTATCATATTGTAAACTATGAGAATATACAAACTATATGATGTTGTATATTTGCAAGAAGAAAACCTTTCTACAAATTTCAGTATGTCAACCAAACTAAGGTTACTGTTGACCTTCATCAATAACCAAAAACCGATAGGTATAGTAAATATAAACATAAGAAGATGTGGTATGATTGCAAATGCGACAACTCTCCACAAGAGACCAAATGACACAGAAATTAACAACAGGTCACCGTACGGCCTTTTACAATGTCCATACTGCATAGTCAGCTATAAAAGGCCCCGAAATGACAAATGTAAAATAATTCATACGATCAAACTAACGGCCTAAATTATGTACAAAATAATGAACGAAAAACAAATATGTTACACAGCAACAAAGGACAACCACTGAATTACAGGCTCCTGACTTAGGACAGGCACATACAGAATGTGGCGCGGTTAAACTAGTTTGTTGGCGTAAACCCTCCACCTAACCTGGGAAAGTGGTGTAACAGTACAACATAAGAACAAACTATAAAAATCAGTTGAAAAAGGCTTAACTCATCAGATGGATACAAATAGAAATACATCTAACAAAAACACAGAGTGGACGTGGACGGGTACTTATACATCCACATAACAGAAAGACACTTAGTACAAATCTGAGAGTACTCGCAGTTACTGACAGCTAGTTCAAAGCCAATAACAACTAATGAAAAAAATCATGCATCTAAGACTAAACTGACTAAGCTAAGACTAAGCTTGAAAATGACCAGACATAAGAAATTGTACCACAGTTCATATAAATTGATGACGAGGAAAGTTTAACTTTTTGTCTTATTTATGTACAAAACAATAAATAAAAGCAAGTATCAAGGACAACAACAAACGAAAACTACTGAATCACGGGCTTCGGATTTGGGACAGACACAAATAGATTTTTTTTCTAGGTTTTTAGCAGTCTTTACCACCCTTTAGTTAAACACATGACTGTGTAGATAATTTACTTTTTATTAAAAAAAAATTAATTACAACGTTGTTTCTTTGCGTATGTAAGACGGACGACCACCATACTGATTTGGAGAAATAAAATGGGATTGCATTGGTTTAGCTCGGAAAAGTTTTAAGTCTTCATATGGTGGTTTCTAACAGTTTAATGCAGATGTTAAAAATACTTAATTACATCAGAAAATAAGTTTTAACAGCTGAACGGCCACACGAATATTTATTATCCTTTTTGGTATTAAAGAGTAAATAAAGGTAAATTTAGACGATATTAACACACTCGGGTTGTGTTCTAACACTATTCTTAGATGTATTTTTAGTTGTTAGTCAGACTATTCAAAACAATGAATCTATGTGCAACATTGTCATGTCATGACTTTTGATTCACGCCTATGTAAGAATTTATAATTTGATACAAATTAAGTGAACCATTTTAATTTGACATGGGTGATTTTTTATGTACCGTCTTCGATAGGGGCATGATTCTTTTAGGTCCGTTCGTTCGTCCATTTCTTCGTCCGTTTGTCAGTACTTTCGTGCGTCCATCCCGAATCAAATCAAAGCTTTTGATGAAGGTAGTTTAGGATGAAGTTTAAGTCGCATCAACTTGAAACTTAATACATTCACATGCAACTTATAATGTGATCTTTTTAATGTCCATGCCAAATCAAGGTTTAATCCAGTCTTCATGGTACATTAAACATAGAAAAAGGATATTACGAAAACAGTCCATTACAGGGTTATTTATTTTTTTGGTGGAGGAAGTTTAAGGTGTGATGTTGTATTCATATCAGCTTGACACTTAGTACAGATGTTTGTTTTCTTGTGGTCTTTCATACATGTATGTGCACGCTAGATTAAAGCTTTGATCCTACGCAGCTAGTATGAAATCTTAATTTTATTATGCCGGACCTTCGATAGTAGATTGGTATTTTGTGTTTTTCAACCGGTCCTTCTGTCGGTTGATGGTCAAGTTGTAGACAAATCAATTAAAAACTTAGAACACATATTCCGTTTAATATGGTCTTTCAAAATTATACAATTGACCCCATTTTCATTGTTCACTGAAAATGATAGTTCTAGCGTGGCATAAGTGTAATGTAGACAAAGGTTTGGTACCATTAACACGTTTAATCCCACTGCAAATGTTTGCACCTGTCCTAAGTCAGGAATCTGATTACAGTAGTTGTCGTCTGTTTATGTAGTTCATACGTGTTTCTCGTTTCTCGTTTTTATATAGATTAGACCGTTGGTTTTTCCGTTTGAATGGTTTTACACTAGTAATTTTTTGGGGCCCTTTATAGATTGCTGTTCGGTGAGAGCCAATGCTCCGTGTGAAACGCCTACCTTGACCTATAATGGTTTACTTTTATAAATTGTAACTTGGATGGAGAGTTGTCCTATTGGCGCTCATACCACATCTTCATATATCTATCTTATAAAAAAATTGTAATTCGTTGAACACTTAATTTTGTGGTTCACCTATAACCAGGAAATTCACGAAAATTAGTATCCAACGAATAATAATGAATCCACAGTATTATGTATTCGATATATATGAATTGTATTTGAGAAGCAAGCTTCCTTTGTTTTTATTGAAACAAAATTGTCTTGAATGTAAATGCTAGCAATCATTTTGAAACGCTTTTATAGTTTGTAAAATAAAAGAGTACATGTCTATTGTTGTCACAATTACTTCTGAATACATGTGTTGCCACGGACAGCTGATTTTTTCATTTAAATCATGATAATATCAACATATGTCCAAAGATCACCAGCACCCTAGCAAGACCCACTTTCACTTTGACAAGGCATGAAAAAAATGTAAAACGTGCAGTTACTTCTGATTGGCAACATCGCTTTATAAATCCCAGTTATAACATGGCTGATGATTGGTAAAAAAACAAATTAATTATACCGCGCCATAGGTATCTATGATCAATGAGTTTATTCACTCTAGGTCGATACCGTCGATAGTGGTTTGCTAGTCCCCGAGTGTATCATCAACTCAATGGAAAATGCGTTAGTACTGACATGATTTATGACATAGTTTTCTTGAAAGCTCCGTTGATAAAGTTAGAAATAATTAAGAATATTGGTTCCAACTCCCTCAGTGAAAGTTTAACCTTAAATGGGTTGGCCATTCGTTTTAGGTTCCTTTTGCATGTTTTGGTCATATACATTGTAGTTCCTCAAGTATTTTGATACTTATACATCCTTGGCTTTCAAAATTTTGGGTTTGAAAGTTCCTTATGAAGGGTAAACCAGGAAATATGAATTTATTATTCAGGTCTATGTAAGCACGTTACAGTAGTTGTAAAAGCTTGGGGCCAATGTGACATTTGTAACATTACAACGACAATAACGCTTGACTGGTTATATCTTTGTACTTAAGCTGTTGGTTATTTGGTTATTGCACCCCCCCCCCCAACACACACACACAAAGCGTTTTGGGACATAGAAATATCGGGCGTCCGTTCGTCTGTCCGTCCGTCCGTTCGTCCTTCCAGTCTTGTTAGCGCTCTCACAATCATGTACAATTCTTGTCAGATATTTATAAAAACTTATATCATAGGTTTATAGCAGCAATGTCTCGGACAAATTCAAAAATTAGTTCCGATTAATTATTTTTAAAATAGTTATGAGCCTTGGAAACATTAATTATATGGAAAATTGCATCGTTAGCGCTCTCAAGTGTACAATTCTTCCCAGATTTTTATGAAACTTAAATTGTAGGTTTATATCAGCAATGTCTCGGACAAGTTTGAAAATCAGTGCTGATTAATTATTTTAAAAAGAGTTATTTCCCTTGGAATCTTTAATTTTATGAAAAATTGTACCGTTACCGCTCTCATTTGTACAATTTTTGCCAGATTTTTATGCAACCTATATCATAGGTTTATACTAGCAATGTCTCAGACCAGTTTGAAAATCAGTGCCGATCAATTTTTTTAAAAGAGTTATGCCCCTTGGAAACATCAATTATATGGAAAATTGCATCATTAGTGCTCTCATGTGTACAATTCTTGCCAGATTTTTTCATAAAACTTATATTGTAGGTTTATATCAGCGATGTCTAGGACGATTTGGAAAATCTGTGCCGATTAATTATTTTAAAAGAGTTATGCCCTTTGGAAATATTTATTATATGGAAAATTGCCTTGTGAGCGTTCTCATGTGTACAATTGTTGCCAGATTTTTTATGAAATTCATATTATAGGTTTATATCATCAATGTCTTGGATGAGTCCTAAAATCTTTGCCGATCAATTATTTTTAAAAGAGTTATGCCCCTTGGAAATATTAGTTATATGGAAAATTGCATCGTTAGCGCTCTCATGTATACAATTTTTGCCAGAATTTTATGAAATTTATATCATAGGTTTATGTCAGCAATGTCTTAGACAATTTCGAAAATAGTGCTGCTCAAATATTTTAACAAGTTATGCCCTTGGAAATATTAAGTATATTGGAAATCACATTGATTTGCTCTGAAGAATCCATTTCTCTAAGATATTTTTGAGCAGTTTTAAAGAAGGAAAAAAGTGTATTATTTAGTTATTGTCCTTGATGCTTGGATAGATAAAATATGTGCAACTCGGGGAACATTGGAAGTCTGTTCTTTTATTCTAGTTACATTGGTGTTATCCAAATTTCTCCGTTTATTGCTTCAAATGAATGTTTGAGCAAATGACAAGATTTTCCCCACTAATTTATCAATGAAATAAATACAAATTGTTAGGATTGTAAACTTGTATTATTGCATATACGAGGACCGGAAACCTTTTGACTTGTTTTGCAATGCATCAAAACCAATAAGTGAGTTTTCCATTTGCTTTTGTTTTATTTCAGATAATATTAAGCTTGATGAATTGATAAAGACAGTCCTTAGAGAGAAGTTTTGCGAAACAAAAGGAGAAGTCGTGTACCTTGGCAGTATTGTAGAGGAGTTAATGCGCACTTTTAGGGACGATGGAGAAGATTACTATATTCATGATGATTACATTAAATGTAAAATCAAGGACCTATTCCCGAAAAGTGAGGAACACGACGATGCAAAAAAGGGGTATCCTTTTTTTTAATAGCAATATATCTTGTTTCTCGAATGTTTTATTTTTCTTCATAATGACATTTTCATACTATTTGATTATTATACAAAAACAGGTTTTGCCTCGACTGCGACGAAAGTCGCAGAATGAAACATATAAGATCGGTCATCCAGAAACGGCGATGTTGCGTTGTCTATGCTTTATCACCTGAAGTTTCCGTCTAGTGTTTGATCGTTGTTCTTGACCATATTATCATGATGCAACGACCCCTTAAAAAGCCATTGTTGTTTAACACGTCATTTTATTAGTTCTGATAAGCAATGTGACAGTAGTCATCAGGATATCATTAGTATTCATGGAGCTTCATAATTACATATTTCAAGACCTCCACAATTCAATTTCAGTATATCCTTAAATATTCAAGGATTTTTATAAATATTTCAGGATCGCCAAAATTCGTTATTTAGACTGTACCAAGTCTGAAATATGACAGTTCAATATGTTGGTTGATAAAGTCTTTAAAGATGCAAATAATTACGAAACTAACTCTAAAATGTTTGATGAAGTTCGTTGTTTCATTTAACAGTCAAATTATTTTAACATTACAAGTCAGCAGTTTTGTCTTTGTCTTTTTTTTTCTGTCCTCTTTCTTTTCTTTTTTAATTTTTTTTTTTTTGCTTTTGCCATCCTAATGTGTGGCTCCTTCTATTATTTTCTATAACCGAAGCTATAATATTTATGTGTTTGCTTTCATCATAAATGTGTATTGTATATGTAAAGGGAGGACTTGATATACGTTGTTATAACTTGTGTTCAATCCTATTGCTTGATCAATGCAATAAAATATTATTAAATACATCTGATTTTGTCATGTGTTTTAGTTTTAGTGTCAAACTTAATTTGAAAACTCTTGATTTTAGACTATTACCTTATTTTGCAAGATAGTTTCTACAGCTACAACGAAAATCATAGAACTTATCGCTCTGGATCAGGTAGGATGATGAAACCTACCAATATCTCAACATACAACCTTTTATATCTTTATAAAGACTTTTTACAGATTTTTAGTCTAACCATATTGGTCATCGTGTATGATTTTCGATATTATTTGCTTAAGATGTTGTCACAAATAATATACGATTAGGCGTGTATTTATCTTAAGGAAGAAGATGGAACTTTTTTTTAAATTACAATGTAACTATCCTTATGCTTTTGGAATGATAACATACATTAAATACTACAATTTCTTTTAAATCTGTCCAGATGGTGCGATAATATTCTACACTTAGCCCGTCGATGCCCGGTGATTTGTTCAAATTCATAGTTACTAGCTTTCGTGCATTTAGTCACAGTAAGCCTTCTTAAGTGATCTTTCCTCATTTAAAAGTGTTTTATCTCCTGCTGTTTCTTTTATATATTTTTAAGCTGTTTTTTTAACCTTTGATGATTCTGTTATGGTTTTTCCCTTTCATTTATTATAAATAACCTTGTGTACTTCATTTTGTACATGATTATTTCTACAATTTGCTTTAATTCGATTTCAAAGAAGTTCTTGTGTATTAAGTCTCCAAAACAAAGTTACTCAGTTCATATTGTTATGGCACCCTCAACGGAGTTGGGTGACATATTGTTATTATATGTTTTTTTTCTTCTTTTTTTTCTTTTTCTTTTTCTTCCACCTTTTTTCCAGCTTATATCTCGGAACTGTTTGAACCAATTGTAATGAAACTATACCATAATGTAAACCAGCATGTGCAGATTTGCCATCGGGGTATGGCACTTTGAAACACTTCCAAGATGGCTATCGTTGCCATGGAAACTGCTAAAATGCGAAAAAAAATTAAATTCTAAATCTTCTATTATAAGATCTGTCTGGATGAAACATTTTGGAAATGTTACCTGGTATGCCTAGATGTGCAGACAGTATTTATTTAGAAATTCCCAAAAGGCCGCCATTGTCATGGAAACATGGAGAATTTAACATTGACCCTATGGGAAAAAACATTAAAGCTGCATTTTATTAAAAAAAATATCAGTTCAAACCCAATAAACCTTATGGATTTGTAACATGGCATGTGACGATGTTGCATATGTCTTTGGAATTTTGGAAATGGTCACCGTTACCATAGAAACAGCAAAAATGTAAAAAAATGTCAAGCTGCTCCAAACTTGATGAAACTTTACAAAAATGTTAACTGGCATGTGTAGATGAGCTGTTTGAATACGGAGTTTTCAAAATGTCTGAAATTACACATGGCAATAGGCGGACGAGGGTACCATCCACTATTGCTCGCAATTGCAAATCTAGTTACTATTCTTCTTCTTCCGCCGCTTTTTCAATTTAAACTTGTCCGCATCCGTTTTCCGAAACCGCAAGTCAGATTTACTTCAGGTTACACAATATGTTAGACAAACATGTCTAGTGGTGCAATCAAGGTTTTGCTTGTGCATTGGGGTCTACAAAGGGGTACTTTGAGGGGCAAAAAAAAGCGAGGGGTTTACTAAAGAGCCCTATTGGATTTTTAAGTTTTTAATTTTCAAATGATTATTACTTCAAAACAGTTAGTGATAGACTTATAGGGTCTTCAATAATGACCACTGGAATATTAGGCCTACTTCAAGGTCAAAGGTCAATGTTCACTTATAAACTTGACCTTTGACCTTGACCATTTTTTCAATTAATGCAAAATATTTCAAAAAAAATTGGACCTTTCTGCAAGATGAATTGAATGAATAATAGGGGAGTCCTTAGGGGTTTATACTTACGGGGACTTTATTTGGGAGACTGTACCAGCATTCTGTTACCATCATTTCCTGTTAATTTTATTTTTATGTTCAGCATATTTTTTTGCAGTATTTTATGGTTATGTCCAAAAATAATCAAGTAAATTAAGTAGATCAAGTAATTTATTTTTGTTTGGAATTCCAAAAGAAGATAATAATGACATATAGTTTAAACAATTCCCTTATCTATCACTCTGTATAATGTAACGAAAAAATGAAAAAACGATATATCCTGGACCTTTGTATGGTAACAACATAGTAGCACGGAATTTAAATAGGCGCAAAGCAGCAATGGGGTCTTTGAAAATACATTACGGATGTGTTTTTTGGATTTCGTTTAGTTTTAAGTTCTAAATTGTATCAACGACCTCTCATTTTAATCTCCTCGGAAAGAGTATGAACATTATTTTCAAATTTTGCACAGTTTAAATCACAATCCTCTATTGCAAACTTTGAAATTTTATAAGACAGGTGAAAGATATCAAAGGAAAATTCAAACTCATAAAAGGAAAACAAAATGACAATGCCATGGCAAAATACGAAAAACGACCAAAAAAAACCAACAACAGTACGTCAAACACAACATAGAAAACTAAAGACTTAGCAACACGAACCTCACCAAAAGCCAGAATTTTTTCTAATTCACGAAAGTAGGATCACGGTACTTCGGTCCTATGGTTGTCAAATTTTACAAATTCGTGAGTTGTTGACAATATTAAGATTTCCAGTTTATATTGTGAGGTCTAATTATATATAAAGAATCTTGCATAAAAATTGAAATTGTTATTGATAATTTCTTTAACCACCTTAGATCACTGTTTAAAAACCTTCAACGAATTTGTGTGTCTGCAGGAAAGAAAGGCCTTGATTCAGAAGAAAAGACGAGAGAAGGTATAAGGAAGATGAGATAAGATAGACATTAGTGAAGGCTTTCATTTTAAAAATAAGTATTTCTTGTGCATATTTTACTATCTCGTACATTTGGTATGCAAACATTTTATCAATTTTATCAATACACTGAACACTGAACACGTGTCACAATTATTTTTGATATACAAGCGTGATGAAATTTTGTAATGACAAAATATCAAATTTTGGAAAAGATCATTTACAGTATTTACCAGCTTAGGTTCAAAACTTAACCTTCAGTTGTTCATCATACTTAAGAATGGGCAGTTGATGGTTAAATTATAAAATGTTACTAACAAATGGTAAACTGTTCCTTATTCACTGTCAAATCTTTGATGTATACTTTTTATTGATTTGTTTAAGAAAGCAACATCTTTTTTATTGAAAATATGATAAATGTAAACTAATTGGTTTTGCAGTCATTTTTATTATCTCCCAGAATACGATTTTTTAGGAATCATTCTGTACTGTGTCTTATCATGAAAGTATCATATTTATTTCGGCAGCATTGCAGTTCATCACAAAACATGCAAGGTTTTGCAATATGAAGCTGCTTAAATTAACCAATTATTACAAAATATAACCATAATAACGTGCTTTTGCTAAGTATATTCTGTATTTAATATTTACCATTTAAATTAAACTGTATTTTTCATTCTAGGAATTTTGAAAACTAAAAGTTTCATCAATTCAACTGTACGAAAAGCACCATATAAGCCATTAATAGAACTAAGTGCTGCATCTCGATATGCTGCACATGAAGTTCCAACTGAAACGTCGAGAATTTTACTTGACGGCAACATAACAGGGAAAGAATTTAAAGAAATGGAATTAGAGCAAATAGAAAATCTTTTTCCAAATTATACTAATAACGAAAAAGATTCAATCTTATTTTTAAAGAATGATGTTTTAGAAGAAGAAGATATGAAAAAAAACGAAAAAATTGAGCTACGACATATTTCTGACGATGAAAAATCAGTTGATCACTATTTGGAAACTTTTCGTAAGTTTGATAAAGAAACATCAGCAGGGTATCGTAAAGATGCGATCCTCCAGTCCTCAATGATCCGCCCAGGCAACCCACTTGAACCAGTTCATTTGTTTTCCAGCATCTGCAGTGGTGAAGAGGACATGTATTATACAATAAGCATTGAATGTGTTCAGTTTGCAGCTGCATGTTTGAATGAAAGAACAAACGGAACAATTCATTTCGGATTGCAGTCGTATAGTGAAGAGTTCTATCTGGAAGGTGAAGTTAAAGGAATTCCTCTTTCTCGTAGTGAATGCATTGAAAATATCAACAATACCATATTTAATCAGTTCTATAGCGACCAACTTGATTCAGTATTTAAATGCATTCGCCCTCCACAGTTTGTTGACGTTATTCCATTTCACAAAACTAGATTGTCAGTTTTAGAAATTGATATTGTACCAGAATCAACATTAATGGGCGACGAGGTCTTTTTTGTAAAAGTTAAAAATGAAAATGTCCCTAAGCTGTATAGATTTACACATACAGGAATCAGACCATATCATATCACTGATGCAGACGTACGTGATTACATATGCAAAAAGTTGCCGATGATTCAAAAACACAGGCAAGAAGAAGAAACAAAAAATAAAACTTCAAGCTTTAGAGCTGATCTAAGAATCAAAATTAAAGATCTTTTACATGCTGAAAATGACAGGTTGAAGAAATCTTATGTCTATCCGCTTGTCTTTTTGAGTCATCTTGGTAGCGACATAGATTTGGAAAATTTAGAATTTCTGACTGACTTGGGTTTTTTTGCATTTTTTGATTTCAGTTATTTGACAAAAAAGAGTAATATTCTTGAATATTTGAAAAACGACAAGAGCTGCACGCTAGATGTTTGCATGGTCGACCACTTTGATAAAGAAAACACAGACACTTTACAGAAATCTATGCAAATGATCAACTGTGAGGAGGCGGGTTCCAGAAAATGGATTCATTGTAACGGGGAATCGGAAATCAGCCCAGGCCCAATGAACAAAAGAGAATGGAAGCAGACATATAGCATTGGATTCAAGGAGGCAGTACGATTTTACAGACAACTCATACCCAAAGGACGCGCTCTGGTTATCTTCTTACTCTTTTCAAAAGAATATGAAATTCTTTTAGAAGCTGCAGAAGATGTTATTACAAGCTTTACTGATCAGTGGATGGTCATTGCTGAAACAGACGAAGTGACAGAACAATGGTTTTCTGAGCTCCTGAGACGAGACACTGTAGACAAAAAGGAAATAAAAGAGAGGTCTGTGACTGGTATGTCATGGAGACATGTCAACGTTACCATTCTTGAACTTTCAACTGGACCCAGTTCATTTAAATGTGTAATACCTTTATCAAATGGAGGGTTATGCTCACTTTCCGAAGAAAAGCGACATGCATTTAGAGATATTGATATTTTGAGTATAAATGAATGTGAAGATCATGAAATGTCAGCAAACCAAGACAAGTTAAATGAAATCGAACGTCAACATGCAGACTCTTTTTATCGTGGACGAGGTATTAGTTGGTGGAATTTCTGGTTTGAAGATCACGTTTTAAAGCGTAATATACATAGGGAACTTGATAAAAAGCTACAGGAAGCTCTCTCCCGTAAAGAGCGAACAGTGGATAATATAATAGAAGTGATAAAAATCTACCATCAACCTGGTGTCGGTGGTTCAACAACTGCGATGAAATGTTTGTGGGAAAGAAAAGAAATACACAAATGTTGCATTGTTAAAGAATTCACAGAACGAACAATAGACAACATTCTAAACTTGAGAGATTTTGAAGAAGAAACGGACGACCCGAAGCCCCCAATAGTACTGATTGATGATTTTGATGATGACAAGCTCGAAAGTTTACTTTCTTCTTTCCGCAGCAAAACATCATTTGAAAGGGACCAAAGTGGTGATCGATATGCTTTCTGTGTTTTACTTTTGTGTATTAGAAAGGCAATCATTCCATTGTCACCAAATCCTACGAGGTATGCTTCTGTTAACCTCCGACACTGGCTGTACCCAAATGAGCTGATTTGGTTTCAAAAAAAGGCTAAATACCTAGAAGGACAGTTTCAAAATAAAGACTGGCCAGAACCTAAAGTGCTCATCTCCTTCAATATCTTGAAAGAAAATTTTAATCCAGATTATATACGAAGAATGGCTGTAGACTTCGTAAATGCTGTCAACAATGAGAAAGAAAAAAATCTTCTCATGTTTGTATCCATGTTAAACACATATGACCCTAACTATAAAGCACTACCAGCCAGTGCATTTGATCCGATTATGATGTCACATGCAAAAGGAAAAAAAGTTATCTTGCAGGCTGGAATAGTTGACAGAAATTCAAGCAAAAAGACAACATGGGATAATAATATTACCGAACCATTACAGATACTTTTAAATAATAAAACTGAAACAAAAGCTGGAAAGGGCAAACAGTTGACTGGTATTTCAGTTATTAATTCTCTGTTTGCAAAACAGATTTTCTCCTGTTTTCAAGAAAACCAAAGTACCAGTGCTATCTTTCTTGAATTTCTAAATTCAGATATATTCAAGACCCGAAATATGGCAATTCAAGAAGTACTGCTTGTTGTTGAAAGAATCCTGACAAAACGACTTCCAAACGAATATTCGCAGAAAGATAAATATGCGTATGTGGTAATGAAGATTTTGAAAGAGGAAGACGTAAAAAATGCAGCAGATGTACTCACCTGTGCATTGCAAGTGACACAAAGTGCAAGAGTATGTCAGGAAATAGCCAGATTACATATCAATTCACGAAAATTGAAGTTAGCAGCAACCTATGCCAAGCAGGCAACGGATATAAATCCGAATGATTCAAATATATGGGATACATATGCACAAGTTTACAAAATACAGTTGACAGAAATATCAGAAAAAACGACGCCCGTCGATAAAAGTAATATTGAAGAGGTTATCGAAATGGCTAAAGAAGGAATGAAATTATTCGCAAAAGAACAAATTTTAAATCGGAAAAGAACTAGTGGAGATTTTGGAAAGCTTAGAATCATCAATCTACTTCTCCAGATTCTTTCCCGTTTTGAGTTATTTGCAGACATGCATGTTTTCCACAAGTATCTGACAGAGAAAAAATACGTTCCCAATGAATTGATATTCCTAGATGTTGAGTCTGAAACGTTTTTGAAAAGATTGAAAAGAGAATATAATGCCACGGTTCAGTCTATCAAGGAAAAGTTACAGTATCCTAAACAAGAGACCAAATTAAATTCGTTTATGCTAAAACAGCTGGAGGAAATAGATATGACTACTGGAAGATTTTTTAGTACAGAATGCTACCAAGAGCCAAACTGGTATCCTGAACAACCAGATCATACTGGGTATGTATACTTGTGTGACATAAATTTGTTTATCACGGCAATGATGTGGAATTCAAAACCTTACTTGTTCGACTCATATCCTTAATCACATCGACACGTTATTTTATTTGGCATATATTTCTGGGGAAAAGAAATTTGCAGTTGTTATTTATCTTTTTAATAAATGGTAACATATACAAAAACATGTAACTGTTGTTAATTAGGATTTGTTACAAACAAACTTTACGTTTCTACTCGAACACACTGAATCACTGCACATCTGTTGTTCGTATTACAAAAAAAAATTAAATCTTTGTCAATTAGTGGAAATAAAGAGTTATCAAAACGATATCTATTTTTTTTAAAACATTACCGATAAATAATTTGATTTTTATGCTTGTTTATTTGTTAAATTTGATTTGGTCATGTTAATCAGACGAAACATTTTCCAATAAACGTAACGGTAACACAAATCCGGCAAGAATATTGACGCAACGAAAAACAATTTATTGAATATAATCTGGCAAATTTAATCATTATAAGAACTTAATGATGATGCTTCTAATATATGACAAATCATTATCAATATATGGATTACCTTGTTTTACAGTTTAGTGCAGATTGAAGATACAATAGTAGAAGATGTTGATATGGATATGGATTATTAGACAGTTTTTTAGTGGAGGAAATTTTATGATATGGTATGCATGATTTGGTATTAAAAAACAAATAAAGTCAGTCCATCTTTCAGATGACGCTTTATCCTCGAGTGTTCGTTACAACTCGTGGACAAATATTCGATATGACTTATCACAATATTTGAATTTGTGTTATCAACATTTGTTTTAATTACAGATCAGACAACCTAAAGTTTCTATCCTGATGAAAAATAAGAAGGATTTTATTAAAACTAAATATTCCGAATTTGATATTTTTCAAAGTACTCTCATAGATTTATCTTCATCAGAAATGCATGCCTTGTCTCTTCCGTTGGTGGCGTTACAGTACATATTTTAACATGTTGATTATACTCAGTGACGACAAAAACATTCAATAGAAATATCATCTTTGAGAAAGAAAAAAAAACATGAAGTTTTTAAAGAAAACATTGCTTAAAACTTGAAATATTTCATTCGTTTATCAAAATATGCTTATGATCAATATATGAATTCAAAAAATCACTTAGGCTACATATCTTTCAAATGGCACAAAGAGCTAAATACTGTAATATATAGTTTAATGACCAAAATGATGACTCTGCCTTTTGACTACACTTTGTAAAGTTCTATGATCGGCATATAACATGTGTTTTTTATATGATTGACTGAAAACACATACCCTTATATTCAATAAAATAACTCTATGAATTTAAATTTGTAGATACATCAAGGACACAAAGTTCCAGATGACGAAAATTAACGAAGAAGTAAATATATCAGAAAAACAATAACAATCTTTGCTAAAACAAAATTAATGCGGATGAGTATCTTGTTACCAGATCATAATTACTGAATGAATTGAAAGTATATATTTTGTTATTGCATGCATAATTTCACTTTGTATAGTAATTTCATAATTATCATAGAATTCACGATAGGTTATGTTAGTTGCAAACAGCACTGTAAGACGAACGTTGCCATGAGACTACATGTGTATAGTAGGCCTGAGTCTCGTTGGCAATCATATCACATCTTTTTATTTTTATACTGGTTTAATATACTTTGTCTGTAATTCCTGAATCAATTGATTTGATGTATTATTAAGTGATATTATATAGAAGATGCTATATAGGAGACTTTCAAACTTTGTTGTGGTTGAGTGATTTTTTCGGAAGTTATGTCCCTTGTAAATAGAACATGGGACACATATTTTAAATTATCAGTTTTTCATTTTCTGCAATACCTAATAGTCACATATTTTTAGAAGTTACAGTTTGAGTTTTGAGTTTCGTTCGAGGTGAGCTCTTTTGTCAATGCTCTTCAACTTCGTACTTGGTTTAGCCTTTTAAACTTTTTTGATTCGAGCGTCACTGATGAGAATCTTTTTAGACGAAACGCTCGCCTGGCGTACATAATTTCAATCCTGGTATCTATGATGATTTTATTGTGGAAGTGTTTGCCCGATGTCATAGATTTGAAATCCGAGTCAATAAAGATCTGCGTCAAACACACTTGCCATGTGCGGGATGACAACACAAGTGTTGACAGGCTTGTGATACTGTAGATAAAATACTTAGACCGAGCCTCCTTATTTGTTCGATTTTTGTCAATTTTAATGAAAAAGACTGCAAGCGCGGATCCAGCCATTTTTTAAAAGTGGGTTCCAACACATGCAAGTCATATAAAAATGGGGGTTCCAACCATATGTCCCCATACAAAAGAATTAGTTGTCAAGCAAAAAAAAAGGGGGGGGGGGGGGGTCCAACCATATGTCCCCATACAAAAGCATTAATTGTCAAACAAAAAAGGGGGGTCCAACCACCGCCCCTCCTGGATCCGCCACTGCGCTGTCTGAAGTAATTCTAGCAAGTTTATACAATGCGCTTTAGTCTACCTTAATAAAATTCCAGAATAGTCGTTTTTAATCCATTTTCTCCACTTTCAGCAAAAATCGTTAATTAATACAATCCTTTTGTGAGATCACATTTTTATTGTTTTAATCCGCATGTCTATCAATTTTGAAATTCTATTTTATATTTGTTTATTTTTGAAATCGTGTTGATTGTTGTAATGTATTGATTTAAATAAAATAAATGTAAAATGTTATAGCAACAACGATTTGTTATGTTAAACAAAGACAATTGGTTCCCCCGAAAATTATATCAACCTATACAGAAACAGGTAAAAACCTTAAAAAAATTGATTTATGATTTCCTTGTAACATCAAAACAAATTTGAGGTTTATCGCTGTTCGTATCCCAAATCTGATCACAACGTTTAAGTGATCTGAAGTGGACAAATTTACAAGGTTACGTTTGCACTGATATATATGAAAAAGAATAACACTCACTAAAGATAGTTTGATAAGCTTCGAAATCTTGCTTATCCAAACAATAAATAGAATCTTATATGATAGAATTGATTAAATGTGTAAAAGCATCAGGAAAAATTAAAAGTAAATACACATGTCAAAAAGATACATAAATCAGGCCGTGTTTTCTCATTTTATTTGTTTTATATTTTGTTATGTCGGGGCCTTTTATATACGGTATGGGTTGATCTCATTGTTAAAGGTGATATATAGTTGCTAACATCTACGTCAGTTGGTCTCTGGTGAATAGTTGTCTCATTGACAATCATACCATATCTCCTTATTTTAGATACAAATAATGAGGACACACACAGTTTATTACGTGTGTCATTGTTTCATGTATTTTTTCATATGATAATCGTATTATTATACTTCATGTCAAAATGCCAGATTTTGATTGGTTAATACGAGGGAGACAGTTTACTCTATCCCATGACAAATACTCTATTACCCTTTACGGAGACGCTCGCTCAAATGTGCGCTTTAATAAATACGGATGATTGTTACGTACAAGACGACATAGTTAATTACTTTCAATTTGAAATTTAATAGACAGTAATAACAGAACATTCAGTATAATAAATTAAATAACACATGTCTGAGAGGGTGATAGAGCAGATTGTTACCCATCGAAAAGACATTGTCAACCTTGGCTTCGCTTAACAATCTGTTCTATCACCCTCTCAGCTAGGTGTTATTTATATAATGATGTTTCACGGGAAAAGTTTCAGCATGGCGATATTTGAGATTGATATAAATATATGAAAAGCTTTCTTATAAAAAAAACTACTTCCCCTGAATTTTTTTAATTCAGTTCCGGGCTCAAATCCTGATAGTTGTTTAAAACCTAATTAAATTTAAAAAAAGGGAAAGTCTGTATACTACTGTACATGTGTTGCAATTTTCCCGTATATCACCAACATCGAAATATTAATGATTGTCTTACATAATTGTTGAAGATAATCATGCAAACCAATAGAAATTTCTTTTGATAAAATTTTCATCAAAGAATCGTTCGATTGATTGAATGTTTTTTTTTTATTTAACGTCCAGCGACCAATATTTCATGCATATTTAGAACGAGCATTATATGCGTCGTCAGCCAAAACTAATATAGTTATATCTAAAAGAGCATACTGAGTTTAAGGTGCAATCTCTTCGCAATAAAACATCCTTATGTACCAAGCATTATTCTTGTTTATCAGTTTCCCATCGTTATTCCTCGCCCATCGAGGACTATTTTAACCATGCAATCAGTTGTTAAAAATAAACCAACAACTTTTTGCATGGGCCACGGGAGTAACTTCATGAATATGTATATGATACAAAACTTACAGTTTCATTTAGGATTTTTACCTGATTGACAAGACAGGGGCGTGGAAATTCTTGAAGAATTCGGGTCTAGTCAGTTCTACATTAAGTGTTGTTACAATACGTCACAATATGTTACAATAGGTCATGACACGTTATCTCGAATCTTAAAACAGAAGCAAATAGGTTCAGCAAAGACCATCAAAGATTTGTCATCAACACAAACTTCCCTAAATGATAAAATTGCATTTGAACAGGTTCATGGACATGTGGTGGGTTAAAGTAGGATTTTTTTTAAAGTTTTGATTGACGTATACCACGTAAAGTCCTTTTATTTTTTAAAAACATGTGTCTTCTGTGCCGGTATAAAAGACAGAAAAACAACAGGTACAAGACAAACAATAACATAAGATATCGCTACCAATGAATGTTTGCTGGTATTGAAAGCAAGCTCAAACTACTCAGTCTGTTGATATAGAAAGACCATCTTACACTCAAATATCGGCCGCTGTATTTCGTAGTAAATTTCATAAAGCAAGGTAAATAACATGACAAGGAGTGATACAATTATGACATTGACAAGGTAAATACAAACAGAGATAAAAGTACCGTTATACTCTAATTTTAAAATTTAAATAAATGAAATAAAGATATACATATAATAACATTAACGGTACAAATGAATTGTACTCGATTTACTACATGATATACCAGAAGACAAAAAAGCAAATCTGGTCGACCTTTTCATTTCATTGTTGGATTTCTTTCCTTGTTGGAGATGTTTTATTGTGTTTTTCTTATGGAACGTACATTTCTGAGTTAGTAAGAAATAGCTCTTTGATTAATTAATAAAGGTTTAAAAGACGGTGCAACTGTAAAATGTGTGTATGAACATTAGAAAGAGAGAATATACATTGTTTCTCGTTTTTTATATAGATCAGACAGTTGGTTTTCCCGGTTGAATGGTTTTACACTAGTAATTTTTGGAGCCCTTTATAGCTTACTGTTCGGTGTGAGCCAAGGCTCCGTGTTGAAGACCGTACTGTGACCTATAATGGTTTACTTTTATAAATTTTGACTTGGATGGAGAGTTGTCTCATTGGCACTCATACCACATCTTCTTATATCTATATAGGAGACAATAAAAAAAAATCATGAGTTTTATCGGAACAGACAACATGGCAAAAAGAAAAATAACACAAAAAAAAACAAAAGAGAATAACAAGCTAAACAGCAAATAAAGATTGGGCAACACTAGCACCAACCAATGAAAACCGAGTGTGAACTCGGGTGCTCCAGATGGGTAAAATATCCTGCTTCATTAATGGTACTTATTATTGTTAAAAAACTTTTATTTCAAGTAACTTTATCGTGATATTTGTGATCATACGTGACACAGATATTCCATAACTGTCAAACACGTCATGAAACACTTGATGCAATAGATTCCTTGTAAGTAGAATGTAAGGAAATGATGATAGGATATGCAATCTCTAGAATATCGTATCAACCAGGAGATAAATACCCCATATGCATTCTGCTGGAATGTTGATACACGGAAATAGGAAGTTGATAATTAGAAAATAAGAATCATCTCTCTGTCGTAAAGCTTATTTATTAATCAACTCTCATTGTCAATTTCTAGAGTTAATGTAAAAAGAAGAAGACATGGTATGAATGCCAATGAGACAACTCTCCACCAGAGACTAAATGGCATAGAAGGATAGCAATTATAGGTCACCGTACAGCCTTATGTATGTGTATGCTTATGCTTTCAATGGTAATTAATTAATTATGAAGTCTTTATCTATGTCTTTTTTTTTATTAAATCTTCAATTTATTATCTCAGTTGTCTCATTAGTTTCACAACCATTTAAAATGTGCAATTATCCAGAATTTTTTTACTATTGCATTATAGAAGATTGTAGCATTATGCACAGCGCTTATCTTGTTTTTCTTGTATAACACTGGGATATCCCCAAAATATTGAAGAAACATATCTTTATGTGAAAATATATCCACTGATCGAGATTAAAAGAGAGGCGAAAGATACCAGAGGGACATTCAAACTCATTAGTCAAATAAACTGACAACACAATGGCTAAAAAAAGCCCAACAGACAAACAATAATACACAAAACACAACATAGAAAACTAAAGACTGAGCAACACGAACCCCACCAAAAACTGGGGGTGATCTCAGGTGCTCCGGAAGGGTAAGCAGATCCTGCTCCACGTGTGGCACCCGTCGTATTGCTCATGTTAATACAAACCCGGTAATAAGTCCAATTCGGTAGGTCACGTTCGGGAAAAGGGGACGGGATTGTAGTTATGACATTAGGAACATAATTATCCGCTATCATCTGTGAAAGAGGAGGGAGAAGATCGCAAACAAAAAATATATTGTTAAACCCGTGACATATTCATGAGCCAGTTTTCATTCAGTAACCTCGTCAATGATGAATTATGAAATATCTTAATAATTCTGAAAAGTTTAGTATCGATTATAAATATTTGATTTAGAGCTTGACATATTGTACACTTGTCTATAATTGAAAACTGTATGTCGCCATCTAGATGCTATTTGGTGATTTGTGGCAATCGATTTCTGTCTCATTGACGAACACCCCACATTATTTTGTTAATTATTAAAGTGGTGAAACTGTAACGTTATAATTACATATTTAAGCTTTTCAAAATGTTTTTGGATGAAACGATCGTCCTGAACATACATGAAATATTTGCCACTGGACGTTAAGCAACCAACAATCAATCAATGGATGGAAGAATTGTTTTTACTCACACATCAACAAAACAATCTTACATCGCTTCTGCTGAAAAAAATAATAAAATTCTTCTTGTTTTGTATGAGCGGAGATAGAAATATTGCCATATTTTTTTCTTGAAATACGTAAAAGCTTTGCTTACCGTTGCGCTAAAACTGGACTGAAGGACAAATAGTAATTTGACGCGACTTTTGTTGTTTCCTTTAAAGGTCTGGTGGCTACTATTTATACATTCAGGGCAAGAAGAATTTGAATAGTCGATCAATTACGGAGGTTATTCATATATTTTATTTCATATCGGTTAAGAATTAGCTTCTCTTATTGGATAACAAGGGGCCACATGACATTCTTTATTCTTTAGTAAAAATATCCATCTCTCTTTAACAGAAAAAAAAACGGACAAGAAAACCGGTCGTTAACGGACTTTTACATGTTAATGGCCAGTAGGGCGTGGTTTCTGTGTTTAGAGTGATGTCCCTTTAATAAAACGCAATCGCGATTCAGACGTTTGGAACATCGCTGAACTGGAATGCACGTCTGCTACAGACAACTCAAATAATCATTTTGCCGTACTTTCCTATGCTGGTAGAGACAAACTACTCAGCAATAACAATTATGAAGTTATAGAAAATTTTATTTTG